ACATGAGATGATTTGTCCACTGGGTGTGGTAAAAAATAAGGTTATTTCCAAATAAAGATGTAAAAAGCACTGAAAATAAGAGTTAACTGTCAAAACTTAGGCTCATATCACAGAACAAAACAGAAACTTACATGATCTGCTTATTTGACAGTCAATTCTTGTTTTGTAAAAGAGCAAGAAGTGTTGGCGTCAATACTATAAAACACTCTTCAAAAGGCTGTGGCTGGTTTCCATAGCAACCATTTTGAGTAAAACTCTAGAAATTTAATTTCTCTTCTTGAGTGCAATAGCACACAATTGATCTTTCTTCATCATATTTAAACAAACTTTTTGGTCCATTTTGAGGGTACCATTCCACCTTAAGGGTTTGGTAAGCCGGCCTCAAATCCTTGTCGATGACTCTCACTTGATCACTTAGTCTTTATGCCGGTATTCTCGACTTTCACTCCACAAGCACGTACGTTAGTAACCGAGAATCGACTAAAATCCTAAAATTAAACCGCTATTGTGTAAGAACCTGTAAGCCTTAAAATTGACACAGCTTCTTAGTTCGGATCAGACATGAATTGTAGTTTTGTCTCAGTCAAAGGCAACTAGTTTGTCGAGATCGTGGGCGGCTTAAGAAAAGATATGGTCACAACACCATTTCTTAACCGGGGAGGGGGGGAGGGGAGAAAGTTTTTTTATAAAAAGGCCGGGGATGCTCGTCAGAAATTTTGAACAGCACCTCTAAGAGGTACTAAGGTCGTGTTCTGTGGGCATGGCTTGAAATTCTTTTCACCCCTAAGAGATATCAATTCTAGAAAAACACATCTCCTGTCATATTTTTTTTCGGCTCAATACCCTCAAAGGTGCCGCGAAAGCTCCCGCTGTCAACCTTTTGAGGCTGAACACCCTGACAGGTACCAAAACCACTTTCTTTTAACCTCTGAAAGGTGCAACGAGCACCCCATCCTTATCATATATGAGTCACCCCCCCTCCCCCCAGGAGGGATAGGCCCAGACAGATTCTGCTCGGCAACTTTTGAGCAACTTTTACGATTTTGAGTACCTTTTTCGATTCTGAGCAACTTTCGGAGAGTGACCAACTTTACAGCATCTTTTCCAAAAGTTAGCATATTTTTGGCATATTTTCACTATTTCGAATTCACATTCATAAGTAATTGATATTTTAACACGTTTTCTCTAGAAATTCACAAGAATTTCACTAGAAACTCTCTTGCGTTTTGATCGGTATCTTGTGTTTATAGATTCCAAATATGGAAATGCCGGATGTGACCCATTTCCAGAATGGGTATCCTGTGTTAATATTCCAAATATGGTACAACTAGCTCAAAAAGGCGCTTTCTTCTGACAATGAAGAATCCGATGAAGAACAACATCAAAGACTAAGAGATCCAATCCAGGGCTTCCCTTGTAAAGAAAATACTCCTCGTCCAACCCAGATCTGCCTCTGCCGGACCGAGAGGGTATTTAGTCTGCTCAGCAACCTTTCATCCCAGCAGGAAAGCGCCTTAGAAGATTACATTGAGGCATCCGTGATGATCAGGTGCAACAGTTGCCAGAGAAAACACTAGGATGAGTCCAGAGCTATTGTTTGGTCTTCAAGAAACTGTAACTGAACTCGTTTTGTTGTTGTATAGAAACAGAGCTGGCTTGCTGCTCTTCGATTTCAGCAAGCAACTATGAAAAATTTCTAGGCAACTTTTGCAATTTCAAGCAACTTTTGAACAACTTTTGGGGATATTTTAAGCACCTTTTTAACATTTTTTGAGCAGAATCTGTCTAGGCCTCAGGCCTATACTATTTAGCCTGCCGGCCAGCTCAAATCCTTTGTCCTGGGTGAGGAAGAAATCTATTCCTTACCCGGTACACAGCTCTCCGAGAAGAACTTGGACGCTGCCTTCAAATCGTAGTTCTTTCCTCCTCCCTTACACGGCATTTTTGCCATTATTCCTGTGCGGAGTAGATATCCCACCGGTACATTCCAGCCAGCAGTTCTTCGTGCTCCAGTGTGGCAGGACGTCCTTCCTTTGAGGGTCTTCAAGGTGAAGCCTTTATTGTTCTTTTTCACCACAGCAACTCCGTAATACTTCACTCCGTACTCTCCATACTGCTCACCAACGATGGGCACGAGATTGTCGTCCTTACCTTCGTTACAAGAAGATTACGGCAACGGTCACTAACGATAGTATTTTACAGTTAATGGCTTTATTTCTGCCTTCTGTTTCAGAATCTGAACTGGCATTAGACAAACATGTGCTTTTCAAGTGATATACCTGGAAATTACCCCTGAGATTGGCTGAGAATATTGAATCCGGTACATTCCAGCCAGCAGTTCTTCGTGCTCCAGTGTGGCAGGACGTCCTTCCTTTGAGGGTCTTCAAAGTGAAGTCTGTATTGTTCTTTCTCACCACAGCAACTCCGTAATACTTCACTCCGTACTCTCCATACTGCTCACTAACGATGGGCACGAGATTGTCGTCCTTACCTGCGTTACAAGAAGATTACGGCAACGGTCACTAACGATAGTATTTTACCGTTAATGGCTTCATTTCTACCTTC